GGTAAAGAAGGCGTTGGGATTGGATTTTCAGTGACTGGAGAAAGTGAGGGTTGAGAGTTACTTGTTGTAGACCGTTGAGAAGTACTTGATGATGTTGCCGAAGAAATCTGTCCTGCTGCATCATCATCATTCTGCTCCACCGAAACAGAGGTAGAATACGACGATGGCAACACTTGCAGGTGAGGATCTCCGCTCGGGGTTGGCAGTGACGAGTGCTGCACGAGTGAAACCAGCTGCAGTGGAACAATTGTAGGTGGAGAGAAGGTTGGTGGGGCGATTTGGTATGTGGTGGCGAGTGGGATAGAAGCTGGATACAGAAACTGGTTCTCAACAAATTGGACATGTAGGGATGTATAGAGACGGCCACTGGGTAAATGCAGACAAAAGTATGCACTTTGTGTTAGTGAATAACCCAAAAAGATGCATGGCAACGAACAATCCTCCAGTTTGTGCTTTGTATATGGTCTGAGCCAGGGAAAACACAAGCACCCAAAAACTCTGAGCTTCAAATAGTTAGGTGCTTTGGTTAAGAGCTTGTTGTATGGCGAGACTTCATTCGTGACTTGAGACGGAAGACGATTGATAGGATAGACAGCAGCCGCAAACGCGTATGTCCAATATGTAGTGGGAAGATATGATTGATGGAGAAGAGTTAATCATGTCTCAACAATGTGGCGGTGCTTCCTCTCTGCAATCCCATTGTGTTCGGGTGTATGTGGAGGAGAGGTGAAATGTGAAATGCCATGTTCTGCCAGAAAAGATCGCAGTGCCACAAACTCGCCACCATTATCCGAGTATAGGTTTCAGATTTTGCTTGAAAATTGTGTTTCCACGAGAGCTTTGAAGGCAACAAACGTGTCTTTTACTTGTGATTTATGCTTCAATGGATAGTACTATGTGTAGCACGTGTAGTGGTCTACCAACACCAGGTAGTATTTGAATTGGTCAATCGAGATAACTGGAGATGACCAAACGTCTGTATAGATGTATTGGAGAGGTTGGGTTGAGGTAATAGAGTTTGTATAAAAAGGAAGTTTATGTTTTTTATTAATAAAATAATGAGAACAAGGCTTCTGTTTTTCTGATGAAGAGAAAGGTAATGAAAATTTGGAAACAAGAGATTTCAAAATAGATAAAGATGGATGTCCCAAACGGGAATGCCATGAAGAAAAATAAGTTTTTGGTGATGGTGAGGCAAAGAGAGATATGATGTTCTTGTTTGTAACCGGCCACTCGTACAACTCGTCTCTAGTTTTGCCTTGGAGTAATATGTCTCTCGTGTTGAGATCTTTCATCTGAAAGTGTGCAGGAAAGAATTCAACGGACACATTATTAGTATTACACAAACGGTAAACAGATATAAGGTTTTTCTATAAGTTAGGAACATATAGAACATCACTCAAGACAAAAGAATGAGATGGAGTTTTAAGGTAAGAGTAACCAGTATGCGAGATGGGGAGAGCTGAACCGTCTACTATGGTGACCTCCTCTCCTCTTATGGAAGTTTGATGGAGGGACAAGTTGTTCAGATCAGTAGTGAGATGATGCATCGCCCCGCTGTCCATAATCCAGTTGTTTGGGTTGTATGATTGAGCTGTCACCATATTCGCCCTTGGCTGCCAGGATGTAGGCGACGGTGGCGAGTTAAGTGAGTTTGAGGTATAGCCCATGTTAGCAGTCTGAACTTGTGAGCAACGTCGTGCACTATGTCCATGAACTCCACATAACTGGCATCTTCCTTGATAACCACGTGTAGGCTGATCGGAACGAGAGTAGCCATTGTTGTTCTGCTGCCACGACTGGTTACTGTGATTTCCGTTGTTGTGGTTAAGTTGTCCTTGATAGTTGCGATTGGTGTTTCCACTTCCCGGAGGGCGGTAGGTCGCTGCATTCACCGTTATCGGAGTAATGGTAGAAGTCTTGCTCTGAAGCTTGGCTTCATGATTGAGAAGCTTCTCGTGAACTTCAGCAACAGATGGGGTCATGTCACGACCTTCAATCTGATCAGCAATGGTCTTGTACTCCTCAGGTAAGCCTTCAAGAATGTGTTCAATCTGATCTTTGAGATCATACGGTTTACCACGTAACGCAACTTGATCAAAACGGGTGGTAAAACCTTGAACATAGGCATCGATCGTCTTCGTGCCTTTCTCCATATGTTTGATTTGTTCTCGAAGCTGCTTAATATGCCCTCGGCTTGGTTTTGCGTAGGTCAGAGAGAGTTTCCCAGATCTGAGCCGAAGTCATCGTTGTGGAGAGTAGCGGTTGAATCGATACGGTAATAGCAGCGAGTAAGCCGTTGTAAATGAGACGGTCTTGACATTTCCATATTGTAAACGCCGGATTTGGAACTTGAGCACTATCAGCGGTGATGGTTGGGGACGGTACAACAAGCGAGCCGTCGACATAGCCTGATAGATCGTAACCATCAAGTAAAGCAAGGACTTGGCGGCTCCACATGAGGAAATTGGATGCTATCAGCTTGGTGACATTATTCATGTTAACGTTTAAGAGAGTGGGTGTGTCGGAAACCATAATGGTTTCGTGGGAGGAAGCCAGTGAGGGCGACATGCTGATGGTGATAATGAAAGAAGAAGATGAAGTTTTTAAAAAATAGGGTTTGGCAGCTTGAATAGTTTCAGATCCCTAAGTAAGAGCTCTGATAAATGCTTAAATCTTATTAGATGTCATTAGTACATTATTTATACATAGGTGATCTGGGTATTACTCTTTGACTAATATAACCTCATTACATATATACTCTACAGTTACTTATGGGAAAACGTACATTATTTATAGTACATACATAGGTGATCTAAGTATTACACTTTGACTAATATAACCTAATTACATATGTACTCTACAGTTTCTTATGGGAAAACACCAACGAAGAGAAGAACTATTTAAGAAGCCACACATTAGTAACACAAATTCAATGCAACATGGTGTGTTTGTGAGATATTTTAGGGGTCGTGTAGGTTCCCAACTCGTGATGAATTTCATATTGGTGTTTATCTGTAAGCACATGGAGGGTGCTTTTTACTACACACGATGATTAAATGGCAGATCTGGTGGTGGATAAAAGTTAACACAAGTAATTTGTTCTTACCCCATCAGCATATTGACGTGTTTCTTAGGAAATCAAATTAATATGACACTCCTCATCAAGTTATCTCAAGCACTAACAAAAATTAGTTTGAAGTTTTATCTGTGGGAACGCACATAGCACCGAGAACTTGATCGCAGTGACAAGGGCAAATGGAAGTGTGGTACTATGTTTGAGCGACAGGAGACCAAGTTGCCTTCCAAAATGAGCAACATATAGAGCGTTTCAATCCTTGTGTTATGGCGTTTGTGTGGTCCTTAGACGTGGATCAATGCTCCTTGGGTACAAGCTACATCAAATATTCTGAGTTAACTTGAGATACTGTGACTTTCAGTTCCAATGACCGTTAATATTTGGTGGCAAGAGACCGAGGGAATGGATTTGAGAAAACTGGTGCTGATATGTTATCGGTTTGCCTTTCATAGTAAGTATCACATATTCCACCATGTGAATTTAAAGATAACTTAAAAGAGTGTGTGTGTTGTTTGGTTGATATGTGATGTAAAGCATGAATCTTAAGATGAGTAAATATTTCTGCAGGTCTCTCACATGGATAGCCTAAGAAGAAGCCTAACAGCCACTCAAAGCAAACCTCAGCTTCTTAACAAGCCGTCAGGCAATTAAAACAAATGATTGATACCGTATCACAAAAGACATATTTGTTTCAAAGTAACAAATAATGATAAGTTATATAAATTTGGACGATTCAAATACGTTCGATAGCCTCATTCAGCTAACTGGAAATGAGACGGAATCTCATCTACATACATTCTCTTGCATAGTCCAGTGAAAGACAAAGGTAGACTTCACAGGATCAAAGGTGCCAAACCGAGAACTAGTCCAATGAAAAAGCCAGGCAGCTTCTTCTCGGCCTTGCCAAAAAAGAGACCTTGAGCATAATTTCCCACATTGAAGTTTCCTGTATACCAAAGTACAGAACAAGTTTTTGTTTCTGGGTTGTTTAATAATAGAAAGTTGAAGGATGTTTTGTGGTGCAAACCTCGAGTGAAAGAGTTGCTGCAGCCACCACGAAGAGTGTTCCTGATATCTCTAGGTGTAGCACGATTGTAAAACACGAAATCAGACATGACGCTGTTAATGCATTCAAGCACGAGTTCTGTCTCTGCAGCACAAGGGCCATTGCAGAACCTGTCTGTTTCCTCAGGTGTAACCTTGAATTCACCTCCTTGGTTTAGTCTGAACGCCTCACTACACCCTCTGTAGAGCTGCAAATATGTTGAGATAAGTAATAACTATTGTCAAACAAAGTTTTCTTGCTTCTTTATGCTGGTTTTCTCTATTGATCGCACTTACAAGGTTATTGTTGAAACAAAAAGCAGCTCTCTGAACCAGAATCCCTGCGCCTCCGATGACACCGCCACCTTGCGCATAGACTGCATCAACAATAACAAAAGAATGAAAAACCAAAATAAACTTCATAAGTGAAAAAAATGAATCTAAGACAATGAAAACCTGAATGTTTTTGAGTGTGAAAGAGCAACACTGCATAGATTAACCAAATTCCTGACGCTTTTGGAACATCCATGGCGTACATAGAGAGATTTTGATAGTTTGAGTCGATCTTGTTTAGGTTGAGCAGTGCACACAATATATAAAGTGAAAGTACATACAAAAAGGTTGGTGGTCTAACTTGGGAATAATGATTCAATAAAAACACAGGCTGTTGACAAAAAATGTGGACCAAGACAGTGAACAAGTTTGGAAATGCAAGTCACCAAACTTATATTAAAAATAGAAAAGTACAAAAACCAAACAAAAAAGGAGGAAAGAGTGTTATGATATCATCACTGACAAATCTTTTAGCTCAAGAAAAGACAGATGTTCTTGGGGTTTGGTTTGATTATATATGGAAAAGACAGACATGATGATGTGTTTAGTTGATGTACTGAGAGAGCCATTTGAATCCCTCGCCATAACCCATTTTACGGACAATGCTGCACATGAAGACCTCAAGAGGGCGAACACCAGAATCTCCTCCAGCTGTTGTTACTTTTCCCTTACCGGTGGTGAAGTTGGTGAGACCCAAGTGATACCTAAGCTCGTCTTCGGAGGCTGCATAAGGAATATCAATCTTGTTTCCGAGAATAAGAAACGGGACAGTTGCAAGGGCTTCATCTGAGAGAAGAGCGTCGAGCTCTCTTTTTGACTCTGAAAATCTCTCCTTGTCATAGGCATCCACGAGGTAGACAACTGCATCAACCTTTAGACCGAACCAAACAAAGTGTTTATATCAGCAAAAGAGAATACTATGTTTCTGTGCAATATATTCAATATCATATATGAAAAAAAAGAAGCTCTTCGGGCAATCTGATGACAATACAATCTGGCTAAGCAACAAATTAATGTTTTAGCTCCAAAACAAACACCTTTTCCGTAAAACAAAAAGAGTTGATCCGACAAGGGGTTAGTGAGAGAATGTAACCTTGGCATAGTAATCTTTCCAAACTCTTCGAGCAATCTGATGGCCGCCCAAATCAAAAGCCTTGAACTTGATTTTGCCAATGCTAAGTTCCTCAGAGGTTCGATGTTGTGTCGGCTGGTGCTGAACCAATCTCTGTCATAAACAATCTCAGATTCATATAGTTTTCTAGAATTGAATTCCATATGTTCTTGAGTAATCTTTATCACAACGCACATTGAATCGAACAGTAGGAAGGGATGGAAAAAAGAAGAAGGCAAACCTCGTCTTTGAGCATGTGAAGGAGTGTGGTTTTTCCAGCATTATCGAGGGCGAGAAACAAGATCTTCGCCTCTTTCTGCCATAACCCTAACGAAGCTAAGATTCCGTAGAACCAATCGAACAAAAACATTGTCTTCCTCGATGATCTCACAGAGGAAACTGATAAAAAAAAAAAGAGTTTATCTCTCGTATAGATTCCTATATATGACCGAAAAATAAGAAATTCGGGAAACAGATCTCTCGAGCCCGTGATCGAGCTGGCATGATGACGTGACGTTTTACGAGTGGAAGGCTATATAATTAATGGTTTAAAGTTGTCATAACTAAAAGCCAACTTGTACCATCATGATCTCATAAGGTTTCTTGTAACAAAAATATTTAAACCGTTGATCACAAATTGTTAGTTGTGAGACATTTATCAATTTTAGTATTCATACATGATATCTCATGTTTTTATAGGTTTTTATAAGTTTTTAATATGTCATCTTAGTTCATATTAATCATTTAGGTTGCAGTCTTTGTTGTATATATTTGTTCATTTGCATAGAACAGGGTCTAAAGTGCACAGTTGAAAAGTTTAGAGCGAAATTATGTGGTTATTCTTGCAATTTAGAAAGGTTTAGGGCCGTTTTGTAAAGAAGCAGAACTTCAAGGACCTATTTTGTAAAACTCCAAGACTTGGCCATTGTTGTGCCTCACGAGCTCTCGTGACTCCAAATCCCGACGGCGAGGATGATTCCAATGACGGCAAGCCTGTTATAGAGCAATGGAGAAGGAAACCACAAGCTGAGAAAAAGACTCCATGGTGGAGCAAAGTAGTGTAGATGAGAACTGATCTGTGACGTCTCGATTCAATTCTGGTGACGAACATTGAAGACGCATTGGAGTGTAGCTACCACGGCGGCGAGGTAAAGACGATTGCTTAGCTATGGAGATGAGCCGGTTTCTGTTTATGGAGAAGCTTGACCCGTGCTCCAATGGTGAAGAGTCGCAGATGGAGCTTGGCCAAGACGAAGATGAAGACCACGGTTAACCACCGCAGGATGAAGCAGGACGCGGGCTGGTGACGACAAATCAAACAGGAAGATTCGCGGGGTGTCACCGCGGAAGATCATGTTCGCGAAATCCTACTCGAGACGCGAGCACACAATGCGGGCGCTCAACGCGGGTAAACTTGGCCGCGGCGGTTCAGAGCTTGGGTGAAATCTATGTTTTGACCGGTTTAATCCAGTTTGACCAGGTTTATTTCAATTGAACCAGGATGAATTTGGACCTCTTATAAATAGTTCTAGCTCCAAAAACCCTTATGTATCTCATTTTTCTCTCAAGAACTTGTCTCCTATTGTAAAAGCTTGAATCTATCATCATCTTAAGAAAGTACTTAATATTATATCTTGTTTCTCATTCTCATTAACATGTTTAACCTTTAATTCATTATGGATTTAAGGTTTCTCATGGAGATTATATAATATACACTTTTTGAATCCATGAGTTAGGTAGACTTATGGTGATTAAGTGTATATCTAAGTGTTTCCTTGCTAGTAGAGTGTGTTTAATGATATTCTAGACTTGATCACTCTAGGATTGAATCTTAGTCAGTTCCTGCTCACAAGGTATATGTTGAAATGGCTAAACCAACTTTACTTAAATTTAAGACTTCTTAGCCAATGACCTTTGTATCTAAGAAGTTTTAGATAATTATTAAACATAATCTTAATGATTGCTTGAATTAATTAAGCCAATGACCATTTGTGTTTGATTAATGAAAGCAAATGAACATTTGTCTAGACCTAGAACTTGCTTCGTTAAATTGTTTAGACTTAAGGATACATTTTAATTAACCTTAATTGCTTTAGATCAATTGTCTTCCCATGGGGTTATACCTTATCATTTGATTGGAAGTTATTCTTGCATTTATTTCTTGATTGGATTTGAGATCACCTTTGTTTATCTTGTTAGGATCTTAGCTTGTTACAAATCATCCATCTTCTTGTTTGCTTAGATTAAGAAAGCTTGTGTATTCTTAGTGCTATAAGTCTCTAGTTCTCTGTGGGTTCGACAATCTTTTATACTACATTTATTTGATCTTGGACCCTTGAAATATCCTGCATCAATACAAAATTAGTACGAATTCTATTTTTTTCATAATCTGATTAAATAGCAAAGAATTTGAAATAAAATTATTCAACTGGCTGATTTTTCTGAGTATACTATTGAAGATGAAAAGGGTATGGTAGCCATTATTACCAGCTGTTTTAGGAGTTTGTTTGAGTCATTGTCATCATTGGAGATAGATGTGGTTTTGGGAAATAACTCCTCGACTATCTCGGCGGAAACAGATCAAGCTCTTACGGCTCCGGTTACTGAGTGGGAGGTTAAACTAGTGCTCTTTGCTATGTATCCTAAGAAAGCTTCGGGCACGATCACGATGACATGATTGCATTTTTCTATCAAATTTTTTTGAATATTGTGAAAACAGACTTGACTCGTATGGTCAGTGAGTTTCTATTTCAAGATTTTATTGCACATAGACTAAATGATACAGCTATTTTAGGAGTCTGTTTGAGTCTTTGTCGTCACCAGAGATATATGTGGCTTTGGAAAATATTTCCTCGACTATCTCGGTGAAAACAAATCAAGCTCTTACGGCCTAAGTTACTGAGTGGGAGGTTAAACTAGTGCTCTTTGCTATGCATCCTAAGAAAGCTTCTAGACCCGATGACATGAGTGCATTTTTCTATCAGGAGTTTTGGGATATTGTGAAGGGAGACTTGACTCGTATGGTCAATGAGTTTCTATTTCAAGATTTTATTGCACATGGGCTAAATGATACAAACATATGTCTCATCACAAAAACAGATAAGCCTACTAATATTGCTTAGTTCCGACCTATAAGCTTGTGCAATGTGAGTTATAAGATATTATCTAAGGTCTTATGCTTGAGACTAAAGAAAGTCTTACCTGAACGAATTTCAGAAACACAATCATGAAAGACATAATAGTGATAATATTATGATTTCACATGAGATGTTTGATACTCTCCCCAAAAAAACAGGAGGAAGACAAAAGATGATGGCTCTTAAAACTGATATGAGTAAAGCGTATGATTGAAGGAATGAATCTTTATCTAGAAAGTGATGGAAAAAATGGGTTTCTCAGAGACATGGATTAAATAGATCATGCGATGTGTGTCCTTAGTCAAATATCGGGTCCTAATGAATGGCCAGCCAAGGGGGAACATTGTGCCTCATAGAGGATTGCACGAAAGAGATCTTTTGTCTCATTTCATCTTGATCTTGTGCACGAAAGCGTTTGTTAACCTTTTTAATCACACAGAGAATCAAGGAAATATATCAAGATGCATGTAGCAAGTGCTAGCCCCTCAGTGTCCCATTTCTTATTTGATGATGATAGCCTTTTTCTTCCGTAAGACGAAGCTCCGTGAATGTGATGAAGTGATGAAAGTAGTAAAGGCATATGGAAAGGCATCTGGACAATGTATACATTTTGAGAAATCCCCACTCCTCGTTGGAAAGAGAATTTCGGAAGACATAGAACAGCAAATTAAAGATACTTTGAGCATTTGAGAATGAAGGAGGCATGGAAACTTATCTTGGTATCGCAAAGGACAAAAGTGGATCAAAATGCAAGTTATTTGCTTTCCTTAAGGATACGTTTGATAATAGGATCAAGGGTTGGTCAGGACGATGGCTGTCTAAGGTGGCAAAGAGATACTTATAAAAGCAATAGCATTGGCGCTTCCGACATATGTTATGTTAAGTTTCCTACGTCCATTGGAAATATGCGATAAATTAGGGAGTGTCATCGCACACTAATGGTGGAGTTTAAATCCGGCTAACCGAGTAATGCATTGGGCAATGTGGGAAAAGTTGTGTGTTTCCTTAGGCGGAAGGGGGAATTGGATTCCGTTTTATCTACAAATTTAATCTAGCACTCTTAGCAAAACAACCGTAGTGTCTGTGTCAGTTCCCTGATTTTTTTTCTTGCAAGAGTTCTTCATGGTAGGTATCACCGCACATGTTCATTATTGAAATAAACAGCCTATGTATCTCCTTCGCATGTGTGGACACTACAAGAAATATAGGTATTAGTAGCAGTTCGCAGTAACACGGATTTACCAACTGCTACCAAAAATATTAAAATCGGATAACAATTCTATAGTAGCATTAAATCCATGCTAAGGTAGAATTTCATTAAGCGGAAAGGAAAAAATCACTACTATAGCTGAAAAATCATTCTCGAGGCAAAATACTTAACCAAAATTTCAGTTTTCCGCCACTAAAGCAAAATTTTCATTTCCTCTTTACAAAAAAAAAAATTCATTCATCCTAATGAATTAAAAAACACTCATATCTCTTTTGTCAAAATCTGTTTTCTCCCTATCTTTCTTCTTCTCCATTAACAAATCTAATTTCTTTCTCTGATTAGGGTTTCGATTTTCAACTTTGACAAAACAAAATCATTCCCGTTACCTACTCCTCTTCGAATTTTCTTGGATTGATTGAAAACCCAATGCTCCGGTGTTGCCACTGGAGATTTCTCCCTCCCTCGCCGCGGACAGGATGCCTCGTCACTACCAACACCTCAATCTCATTCTCCATTCTCCGGTGGCCACTTCAGTTCGAGCTCAATCAATGAAAATCCACTGTTTTCCCTATCCATAACCATACCCTGCGGCTGGCTCTGCAGCTTCACCTCCAACCTCAACGCGAACGCCGCGAACACCGCGAACCTGACGAAGCTCAGAAACACAGGTCTGTTGCTGGCTGCTCGCAAGCGTCAATTTGGTGCTTTGTGTATCCTCTCTTAGGCGATAATCCAATTCTTGGTGTATATGAGCTTCCACTTGATGGTGTTATCTCTCACTTGCCTTCACATGTGAGTGAGTCCGATTCTAGAGTTAAAAAATAATAATCAAGTATTCATTACTTTCAGCTTGTCTAAGTTCTTATATTGATTGATGTTAGGAGTTTTAAAGGCTCCTAAGGCAAAAGTTGTAGTATAAATGATTGTCGAACCAGTTCTGAGGGATTGAAAAGCACCGAGAATACAAGTACTAGCTTAATCTAAGTGCAACCATGTGATTGATTAGTTTTTAAGGTTAACTAAAACTAGAATGCAATAAAAGATATAACTTTGACAAAGAAGATAAAGGAGAACTCATGGGTATAGGGAATTTGACCTTGGGTGATCAGGTTTCGATCTAAGGATGGCAAGCGATCAATTAAACTGTCTACCTTAGGCCTAGATACGAATCTAAACAAGCTCTATGTCCAGATGAATGTTCATTTACTACCATAACTCAAGCATCAAATGTCTTTGGTTGAATATTATGAAAGTAATCATTAGGAATAGATCTATTAGCCATCTTAACACCTTTAACAACAAGTGTCCCTGGTAAAGACTGTTAAAAGCTTAAGAGAGTTGAGTCAGACATTTCATCGAACACTTTGTGAGTGGGAAATGTCTAGAGATCAAATTTTGAGTGATCAATTCAAAAGAGGCATTATGGTTACTCTAATAAGCAAGGAACAAGAGAAATCTAACACTAAAACATCCCAAATCTAACCTAACCACCCTTAATCTCCCTAACCCATGAATTCAAAAGGTGATTACTCACTAATCTCCATGATTCCTCTTAAACCCATATTGGATTTCAGATTAATCATGTAGATAAATAGATAAGAAATCATCAAGAACACAAGATGAAAAGCAATGAAATCTCAATCAAAAGAAGTTTTTCTTCAAGCATAAAAGATAATCTCTCTCTGAAGGCTTACAACGTTGTTTTAATTAGGTTTCTGAAACTCAAAACATAAAAAAAAGTGAAAATTGCAAAAAGGTCCTCGAAACAAGTTTTTCGTCACATAAAAGACGCACAACGGGGTCACAACCCCGCTGTGGCTGCTTTTCTTTTCTCTTGAACGCGAGCGACCCTTTGACTCCGCCCCGGGGGTCCGCTGTGGGCGTGGAGCGGCCTCCCGACCCCGCTGCGGCGCTCTTCTCTCGCCCCGTCTCTCAAACGCGAGCGGCCCCCTTACATCCGCTGCCGAGCCTCCGCTGTGGTCTGGAGCGACCCCCTGACTCCGCCCCG